TTCCGGAGGTTGATGTGGCTTTTTTGCTTCACTGGTTAGTCGCTGAAAAACCCACCGTTCTTGTCAGACAAACCCACCGTTCTTGTCAGACATTCAGAAATCTAGCCAAATTCTTCGCTGAGTCTTGAATCACCGAGGTCGTTTTCGATGATACTCCTACACGTTCCCATTTTTAATTCGTCAATCGCTCTCGTCGGGTTGGAAGTATTGTAATTTTCGATTTCGCCTGCACATGGCAGTACTATCGCAGTCCTTGCGCATGCGTCATCAAGCTGACGGCAGTCATCAGCATCGCAGCTCTCTTGGCATTGTTCTATTTATGATTAAATATAATTACTCCCACGAAATACTCGTTGCGGGGCAGTTTTCCATGGGAAGGGGGCATTTTGCCACTTTCGCTGCTTCACTGGCTCCGGTAATATCACTATGGGAAAAACCTTTAAACTTTTGTGAAGCTGTAGCGAGCTCGTCGTAGCAAAAGTGCAGAAGGCCCACTTCCCGTCACCCAACTACGCCTTTATTGCTATTAAACAGGGCTCATTTGTCCGTGAGAAACGGATTTCTTGTTTAGAAGAGCAAGAGGTGCTCAAGATTTATCACATCTCATCTGACCTACAGGTGTTGTACTAGCGCTACAAAGGATTCTGATGGCGTTGGTTGGCATCGTTGACAGCAATCGAACTTCAAGCGCCCCTCTTGAAATGCTTAATGGATTGTATGAATGGCGGTTGAAGACCTTCAGGGGTCGGGATCGGAGGGGGGGGGGGGGCTCTCGCTGTTTGTGAAGTATGTAGCTTCTTGATGGGTTTTCTTTATGCTGCGATCAATAATGTCGGTCTTGGCTCCGAGCCAAGTGGGTTTTATGTCCATACGTGCACCATGAGACTGTTCTAAGCATATTTTGCTCCTTAAAGGCAGTTGGCACGATGATTGGGTGCTCGTAAAATGCTAGTAGGGCGCTATATAGTGGGGAAATGGCGAAAGAACGGAGTGAAACGGTCAAAATCCTGCGAAAAAAGAGCCTTCGTTCTCACTGTGTTAGTAATCAATTTTGGACGAGTTTCCCGAAGGCATCTTACCAATAACCGCTACCGAAGGTACGGCTGCATATGTGTACCATATATCCATGCAGCATCACGGCCGCTTCATACCAATCCCTTCGCTTCATAATTTGCTTAGCAAATGAATCAATTAGAGCGTCTGGAACAGTCGTCCATTTGTGGGCGGGCGGGGGGGCGTTTGGGACGTAAAGTTGTGGCTTGATAGCGCCCTTATAAGGGCACCTTCCCTGGAAAAGGCATTATGCAGCGCCTGCTCAGGGTCGCGGAATTCCGTCCTGCCAGGCGTATTAGTCCTGCTCGTCTTGGAGGATTTATCGTGCCAACTGCCTTTAAGCTGTTCTGAGCTAGAATTTAATGT